GACTGGCACCTGTTTCTGGTTTTTGTTCGAAGCCTGAAGTGAAATCTTTTTGTATACAGAGTATTATAATTCCTGTATGGCTGTGTAAGAACAAGCAACAAATTATCTCGGATTTTTGAGATACTGAATGACATTCAAGGCTTTTGTATGAAGGAAAAAACCACTAATACGAAAGGTTTCCAGATAGTATAAGTAAGATTGAATGCAATTTACTCATCTGTAGGAAGTTCGTTTCAGAAAACCATTTAAAGTCTGCAGAATCAAACAAAAAGCCTCACAAACGTACCTCAGCATGTACGTGTCTAATAATTGCCTTTTATTTGTCTTTTAATCAGTTATTTTCTGTAACAGTAATTTATGCACAAAAAGAAAATTTCGAATACAAGTTCCTCATCCCAGCTCAGAAAAGCGTGGTATCACTGTCTCTGAATTTCAAGGAGTCTTTAATTTCAGAATATCCATCCTTAGTCTAACACAGGTTACAGATGCCCCATGCCTGTGGGCAAATTCTCGTTCTGAAGGGTTTGTGACTGCAGCTGCTGGGACCCAGGACTTTCAGTGGGCTCCCTAGCCTGTTGGTGGTCATTCCTGTTCCCAAAGGATCAGACAAGTTACCTTGGCTATAAACTCCTTGTTTCTAGACTGTGGTATTAATTCGCTAAAGTATCAATTGGGAGATTTTTGAAAATATTCACTGGGAATGATAGCTGATAGGGACATGTCCATCCACTTGCTTCTGTAAAAGAAAGGAGTCTTTTCATGTTTATATTGTGTCCAGGTAGCCTGGTTTATACAGGTATATAAAGAGAAACGTAAGTCACTTGAGACATTGTTTTCAGTGGGCAGTAGATAGCGCCTAAAGACAGATCATTGGTATTTTGAGAAATCAAAGGTATCTTGATACCTGCACTGTTTAGATAGCATGTACATAATTTTTGCATAACTTATAATACTTTTACTAAAACTGTTAGGAAACCAGTAGATGTTAGTCTCTCAGTGAAGACCAACACTAACAAAGATATATAAGCATAGAATGAGAAATTATTTTTTTCCATACCTGCTGACTTTGAAATAGTGTTTTAAGTGCAATCAGCATGAAAACAGTAATTCACATATGCCTACCTTGCTACTTATTCACTTATTTCCATTTCGGCTGCAAAAATATTGTAACTCAGTAGAGATCTCTATGGTGCTTTATGCTCCCTCCCCATCTTTCTGTTTGCGTGATTTGATTTGCTCAGATAACCTAATGGGTTTTTTGTAGGTGTAGGTAAATAGATCTTCCACAAATCTGTCCAAAATCCTGCCAAACTGCTAGCATTGACACTGCTGAGGGCAATGTCCTGTACAACAGAAGGAAAAACATGAAATACATATTAAACTTTAGCCTTGTAACTCAAATACCTTCATCGATAAAAGCTAATACAGTGATTTGCCAGAGAGAAATGAGTTGTCTGAGAATGTGGTTTTGCTCAGGCTGTTTTTATTTGCTTTTCTTTAGAAATACAACAGATCACGTTGAGCAGGACATTTGCATCTAATCTGCCCAGAGGCACTATTAAAGATGTGTTCTAAACCCCAGAAATACGGTATGGTTTCCTGTAGCGGTGTCGACAGGAAAGTGACGAGACTAGTCACACAAAATGACCTACCTTTTTTAAAGAAAGAAATTTTTTTGCCCAAACTATTAGTACTAGTATTAGGTATATAAACAAATGTATTGTCTTTAACACTCTTGTAAACCAGTATCTTGTAAATCTCTGGTTTTCTTCCTATAAACTAAGATAAAAAATCTAAAAGGGAGGCAAATGCTGGGACGTTCTTAAGAAGTATATTTGTTTTTTTCTGTTGCATATCCTAGAAAAATTGCTACTGTCAAATAACCAACGAAAGCAAACCAGGCACTGAACTGATCTAGTGCCAATTAAGACAGACCAAAGCAGGGTGGGGAGCTGGTCCAAGTCTCCACTCTGTCATTTAAGCACATTCCTAAGGAGGTAGATTGAACTTTACGCTGGCTCATCTACTCAGCATGCTGCCTGGTCATCCTAGCCAGGTGTAAGAGGTCAACTGTCACAAGCTGGATCAGTGAAAACAGTAACATGCAAAAAGCAATCTTAGTATATTTTGCAGATGGCACCAAGTTTGGTGTAAGTGTTGATCTGCTTGAGGGTAGGAAGGCTCTGCAGTGAGATCTGGACAGGCTGGATCGATGGGCTGAGGCCGATTGCATGAGGTTTAACAAGGCCAAGTGCCAGGTCCTGCACTTGGGTCACAACAACCCCATTCAGCGTTACAAGTTTGGGGAAGAGTGGCTGGAAATCTGCCCAGTGGAAAAGGACCTGGGGGTGCTGGTTGACAGGCAGCTGAACGTGAGTGAGCAGTGTGCCCAGGTGGCCAAGAAGGCCAACAGCATCCTGGCCGGTATCAGCAGCAGTGTGGCCAGAAGCACTAGGGAAGTGATAATTCCCCCTGTGCTTGGCACGTGGGGCCGCCCCTCGAATGCTGGGTGCAGTTTTGGGCCCCTCAGGACAAGACAGACACGGAGGTACTGGAGCGTGTCCAGAGGAGGGCAGCGAAGCTGGTGAAGGGTCTGGAGAACAGGTCTTGTGAGGAGCGGCTGAGGGAACTGGGGTTGTTCAACTTGGAGAAGAGGAGGCTGAGGGGAGACCTTATTGCTCTCTACAGCTTCCTGAGAAGAGATTGTAGTGAGGTGGGTGTTGGTCTCTTCTCCCAAGTAACAAGCAATAGAACAAGAGGAAATGGCCTCAAGTTGCACCAGGGGAGGTTTAGATTGGACATTAGGAAGAATTTCTTCACCACAAGGGTTTTCAAGCACTGGAACAGGCTGCCCAGGGAAGTGGTTCAGTCACCATCCCTGGAGGTATTTAAAAGACATGTAGATGTGGTGCTTAGGGACAGGGTTTAGTGGTGAACTTGGCAGTGCTAGGTAACGGTTGGACTCAATGATCTAAAAGATCTTTTCCAACATATAGTATTCTACAACTCTTAAGACTTCATTCTGCTCTTTCTCCTTAATAATTATTCTGCAATTCTAATTCCTTCATTATAAGAATTCAGTCCCTAATTTCCATTTCAATGCAGCCAAAAGTAATGTGTCTACAGTATTTTAATATCAAAGGAATATACATTATTTATTATTTTGTTGTTGACGTAAGATTTGTTTATATAACGTAAGTATGAAGGCAAGTAGCTTTGCATGCTCATTCCTACAAGTCATAGGAATCCATCAAAATATTTTTTCCAAAGCAGTCTGTTAAGTCTAACCACAAAACCATTAAGCACAGGAGCAGCTCTGTTTCAAATTAGTGCAGCAGGTGGGCACATCACAGCCAAACAGCAGTGTGGCATTCCCCAAAAGGCAGCACCTTCATTGTGAAATAATAACAGAAAAACTGCACAGCTCAAGGATGTAGAGCAGAGCTTTTGCACAGGTCCTGCACCTGGAAATGGAGCCACCTCCTATGACAGCAGCCATCCTTAGGCTGCTGGGGAAATGGTCTGAAATTGAGAAAATGCCTTTCTCCATGGGCAATATGTAGGACCCTTTCCTAAAAGCTGGTTTAATTTCCTCAGTACTGCGAAGTATGAGAAATCTTTTTGTATCATGAATCATCAGTTTCATTCTCTCTTTTTTTCAAAACAAGTGCTTTATTTTTTTTTGTTAAATATAGATACATATGAGATGAACACAGCAGCATCTTACAGGGACAGACCTTTACAGCCTGGGATGCTGCAAAACCTCTTGCTGCCACATATTCACGCAAAATCTGTCCACTTTGTACATCCTGAGGACCAAAACGTAAGAGGGGAAGAAGCACAAGGGACTTGGGAGTGCCAGGAGCTTTTCCCTGCCCAGACCACAACCCAACCCCAGCAGGGGAATGCAGAGGCCAGGGATGGACCTGCCAGGGTGCAAACGTGTTTCTTCACGAGGCAGATCTGCAAATGGTGACTGCAGCCCAGGCTGGCATGGAGAGATCTGGTGTTCAAAGCCACACGCAGCCCTTGGCAGCTCTTGCCCTGTGGAGATGCTCAGCATCACTCTGTGTCTTTCTCCTCAACTTGTCTGCATTTGCTCAGCACTGAAATTAATTCATCAAGCACAGCAGGGCATTGTTGGAAGGAGCAGAGGAAGAACCTGCCTGAAGTCAGGCTTGCAGCAAAGAGTTGTTCAGGCACTGGCATGCAGGACAAGAGTCTGGGCAGAAGTATTTTGGAGAGACCACCATGTCCAACCAAGGGAAAGACTTTGTTGATCATGATTTATCTCCCAGCTCAGTCACAATCAGACACAAATTACCAAGCCTGCCAGCTTAACAACTTCATTGACTTAGACCTCAAAACACAATATCTATGTAACTTAGCCTTCCTCTTCCTCCCTCCATGGCCTGAACTTTATTACCAGAGGTCTGGGTTCTCCTGCAGACTTTAAGAACTCAGTGCCTGATTTAGAGAAATGGCAGTTGGGCCACCCAAGAGGTTTCCTTCTTCAAGAGAGAAGTCGGTATACTCAGCTGATGCACTGTCACTAGACTGGCTGTTACCAGGCAGCTCTGAGCCTACCAAAGGAATCGCCAGCTCCTCTCTACAAAAAGCAATTTTAGTTGAGGAAGCAGGACAAAACCAAACCAACAAAAAGCATCCCTACTAGAGCGAAAGTAACACTCATCACGGATGGGTTTGCTGTGGCACTTTTTCATTTGTAAAACCTTAATTTCCCTTCCTAAAGGGTTCTGGTTTTGGCAGTTTCCAATAATGAGGCCTCTATTGTTATCTGGACCGCAGTCTGCCCTAAATCCATTTTTAGAGAGGTTTTTGGTTTTTTTTTTCAGAAGACATGATGTTGCATACCCTGGAAATAGTTGGGCATTACATGCTCTTTGCCAGTTTGTTGTTTTTGTTTTTTTTTTTTCTAAATTGCAATGAGCCATGAGATAATGTCTTTGCCATATGTCCTTTTTATATTTTTAGGAACACCTGAAAGCTTTTGACCGGGATGTAAATGAGTTTGTGGACTATATGTTTGGACCTCGAGGTAAGATGCTCCACCTATAGCCCCTTTGGGAAGTAATACATATCCAGATTACCTCTCAAAAATATTCTAATTAGTAAAAGCAGTCAAAATTTTCTGAATAATTTCTGAATAACTGAAAAATGCACACCAGGTGGAATCACAATATCTGCAGGAATACACAATTACTGTAAGAAATCTATCAATGCGCTACATTTATAGAAAGCCGATAGGTTGTTGTTATGACTGACATATTATCTGCAATACAAATTAAACCAAATCACAGATTATACTGAAGGTGAAAAAAAAAAGAAACTGATTTTTTAGTTTTTGAAACTTGAAAAAATTCACTAGAATTGAGAGTCCTTTGTTTCTGAGAATATCATAGGATTTCAATTTTACATCCTACTGTAGATAAAATAATGGAAATCCTGGATTTTTCTGAAAGTTGAAAATCTATTTTGGGACCGATTCTCATTAATAATCCAGTTACTGTTTGGACCAGCTACCTATCAAATAGCCTGTTCAGAAGGACGCTTAGATCAAAAGCAAGAAGGGGTTTTCAGCACCCCACAGGATTACATCCAAAATTTCAGTAAACCAATAGATGGGGTGGAAGAATAGATGAATCTTTCTACTTGCTATTCTTGCTTTCTAAAACAGTTTGGATGAGAATAACTTGAATAACTGTAGTGTTTAGCAGAGCTTCGAGGTGCTTCATGCTTTATCAGGACCAAAATAGATAGTAACTGTGCCAATAGCTAGAGCCAGTGACAAAAAAAACCCTGAAGTAGAACTGCAGAAAGAAAAAGAAGGGCTACAGAAAGGTGAGGACAGAGCATCAAGGTCAGGGCTGAGTTTAGAAGAGGACCAAGGAACTAAAGGAAAAAGGTAAGACCAGAGCTTAGACAGCAGACCTAGCCTTCAGGAAAGGTCCCTGTGAGGCCACCTTGCTGCTGGTAGGGCTGGGTTTAAACATTATTCAGGAATAGACCTGCAAACTTTTCCTTGTGGTTAAGGCCAGACCTGCTGTCCACAGAGATGGACCTATGCTCACATATTCTCAATTTGTTGCCATAATGTCCTCCAGGTCCCTGAAACAGTTCTTGCTTAATTAGGAGGACAAGGGAAAGAAAACTGTAGCATTCTTAAACCCAAGAAATTCTCATTTTTCTTGGCTGGCTGTCTGAGTACAAAATCTTTTCCAACATCTCTGCAGTAGACGTGAAGCTTGAAAGAAAAATTTCTGGTGAAGAAACACTGCTGCAGTTCCCAAGCTGTTAAGAAGTGATTAAAACTGAAAACATTTAATTAGTGACTTCCTCAACAGTGCATTTTAATATTAACAAAGAAATGTGATCTCAAGCATAAAAGTACTACTTTTTTTTTTTTTTTTTTCAAATGGACATGACGTAGTTCTCCATTCCACTTTCCTCATTGGTCCAGAATAAATTGTTTGAAGGAATAAACTGTAGTTAATCCAATGTAGAATACCACACTGATCCCTTTGGGCTTTTAGAAAGCACTTTAGTTAAACAAATTGTACTACTTGCCAAGTACATCACCATCCCTCTCCAGACATCAATGCTGAAGATATCATTTATTTGCCCGTGCCTCTTCTCTATGATCTTTTCTTTGAACTGGTGGTATAACAGTATCGTACATTTCATGAATAGTGTAGCTCCTTCCAATGTGTTTATACACATAAATAATGCACAATAAACTGCAAACAGTTTTAAATTAGATAGGCTGACCCCACAAATGAAAATCTCATGCGTTCTTGAAAGCTTCCCCAAATGTCTAAAACCAACAAACCGTTCCCCCTCTCTCTCTCCACCAATTCTCATCCACAGTACACACTTCATTCAACAGAAAGATGGCTTAAAAGGATAGACACCACTGCTCTATTCTTTTAAAATCAACCCCATATTTATGGTTTATATTTTAGGTATTAACTCCTGAAATACTAGTATTACTATACTGATTTTAGTCATCATTACCAGATGTGACTGTGGCCACAAGAAGAGACAAAGCCATGCACTAGTTTCCAGAGGCAATCTCTGCTCATATTGGTAGTACCAGGTTAACACAAGCTCCAGTACTGCGCTACTAGAATAAGGGGCGTACTATGAAAGATCTGAATTTTATTTATATGTAGGCATATTTTGTGCCTTTGTTTAACGGTACCAGCTGGACTTTGTACACAAATTTACCTTGACGTTTGCTATTGAACTAGCAGACCAAGTCCTTTGGATGAGGGATAGAACCCACATACATGCCCATCAGTTGCATCTCTTAATAAGAAGTGGTCTTACAATTTGGTGTTGGTCCGTATTATTCTGGATAGGAGATTATCTGGGCTCAAGGCAAAATGAGAAACAGTGAAATAGCTATAGGGTTCAGTAAGACAGCATTTTTCCAGGGTCGCCTTCATCTGCAGAGTATTGCCTGGTGTTACATAAAATTAAGGAACATTGAATTGCAGGAGCTAAATCTAGTTAATTGGTTGCTTACTTGTTTTATCTGTAAAAGAAATAGAGGTGGTTAAGAATAGGTGTATTTTAATAACATTATGATAATGTAATAAGCACTCTTTGTCTCCTCAATTAAGTATGAGCAGTAGCAAGGCACTGGTGCAAACTATCTACCCTCTGCACCTAAAAAGCTCTGAATCGACTCGGATACTAACTGGCCAAAGCTATACAGAAACCTGAATCAAAATGTTTCTAAACCTCACTGATAAAAGCCTGATACCTCTAAAGAGCCTGGGAGGCCTGTCCCTCATTTCAAAGGAGTCAAGATTTCACCCCAAGGGTCTGGCCAATGACCATGAATGAGCTTATTCATGGAGCGATCAGAGCTCGTGGGCGCCTGCTCCTTCTCCTGCTGCAGTCCGGCACTTTCACACTGTGGCTTTATTCATTGCCTTGGTCTCAAATTCAGATGCTGTGTAGGTTCAACAATGTAAAAATATTCTTTTCTCCTATTGACAGCGTACCTTTATGGTACTTGAACACTGAGACTGATGCGCCAGTCAACAGAAATACTTTTGATCTCTCCTTCTTCTGATAACATTTTTTGAAGTACACTGCCTTTCCTTTCCCTTCCTGCCACATAAAAACCTCCCTTCTCTTGTCATTCAGTGATAAGTGTGAGTGGAAATAAAACAGTCACGTTCCTTGGCTGCCCTTTATAAACTACTTTCTGCCAATAACTGTCTTACCTTTCAGGGTACCAAGGTCAGGGTGGAAAATGATCAGTAGGGGTACATATTTTAATAATTTCTCTTGAAGGTGAAATAGTATAGACCTTAAAAATACTTGTCACGCTGACCTGAACAAGCACATGAGTTCTGCTTTTGTATGGATCAGCCCACACATTGTGGATCTTGTGGCCACTCACAGCAGGGTGAAAATTTTCTGAGGGCATACTGGTGCAGAATTTAATGCTGTGTAGTTTGATTTGTATTCTCGTCCCTTCCAATTATTTTTCCACTTTGAGCAAACATGCCATTTTGTTATCTACTGATGCTAGTTGACCTTTGTGCAGGAAACCTTTGTGCACCAAATGTTGCAATCCTTGGATTAGGAGACCTTTCTTTAGATAGCAGTTGTGCTGACATGACCACTTTCTACATCTTCATTTAGGATACCAATTAAATAAATTAAATCCATATGCTCCTAAAACATAGACTGGATCAACATTTACACATGCAGCCTTTACCTGCCCTATGACTGCCGTGTCCTGTTGAGAGCCTATATGGGAGCAGAATCGGCTCAAAACCATTCCTTCCAGAGCTTCAGCTGTGGTTTGTGAACTTTAAAAGTGTTGTCAGAAGTGTTTCATTCTCACGCTGAGGTGATCCTAATAGGCATTGAGATCTGAAGACAGAAAACATGCGTTCTAGCTTGGTAATGCACAAAGCCAGGCCATCCTAAAGGAAGGATTGTGCTTTGTCATAGATGGTTGTGCTGTCGTGACTGATTTAATCCTACACTTCTCCTCCCCTAGAGGTTTTAGGAAGTCCAGAAGGGAAAGTCAAAACCAGGAGGGCACTGAACTTCCAAGGTAACTTAGGTCTGGTTGAAAGCTAAAGAGCTAACATCCCCTGGGGAGCCCAAATCCAACACATGAGTGTTACAGCCACTGCGATGGAAGCAAGGTGGGAAGTTGAAGGAAACTGTAATGAGAAAGCAGGCTGAAGTTCATAACCCTGTTCACAAGCAAATTACTCTAACTCACTTAAAATCTCATTTTACGTATACCCATGTGCTTATATTTCTCAGGAAAAAAACAGTTGGAAAGAATACAGAACAGCAAAATGGCAGATCAACAACAGTTTGTTAAATGCTTGGGCACATTTTGCTTTGTGCATCATCCATTGCCCAGTCTTTTCCAAATTCAACACAGGCAGGAAAATAGTAAAATGTTTTTTCATCCACTGTGAATACCTCTTCTTCTTCTAAAATTTTTAACACAATCTAGGTCTTCGTAAAAAAAAAAAAACTAAGTAATTTAAAACAGTTTCTCAGAGCAGAAAGAAGTACTGTGACCTACACAATAGCTTCTCACTGACTTATTTCTTCTCTTACTCCATAAATCATGACGGATTTAAACTTTTTGAAAAGCTAGCCATGATACCCCTTATTCTTATAGATAAATGTTTGAAGATTGTTACTGTGGAAAATTAACTCTAAATTTTGCTCCATATTAAAAGCAAAACAAAACAAAACCCACTCTCCTTTTGCTCATGACATCCAGTTGCTGACAGAACAACAAAGCAGTGCCTCCAGATCGGCATATAGGATTAGGCTTTGCTCACATACACTGAACTATGTGATTACTGCCAATGGGATTACTTGTGTGAATAAGGCAAGCAGGATTTGACCTTAATATTTCATTTCAGGACCAGGCAAATGGGACAGAAACTGTAGGCAAGCAAGCCCTTGCCTTGCCAAATATCTTTGATAACCATCAAAGTGAACATTTGCCATTGTTTTTTCATATTTAATGTTTTTGAAAAATCCTTCCTTTGTACTAATGTTTTCTAGGAAATTTTATATAACTTTGTACTTATATGGGAAATGCAGAATTAAAACAATGTATGAACTGGCAACTTTAGGTGCATACTTTGTATTTAATACTGTCTGCAAACTGTTCATTGATCAGATTAAGATATGATTTAATTAAATACTAAGTTTAAATATTATTTTTTTTTAAAGCTTGTAAGCTTTCTTTTCATTTTCTCTTTCCTATGAAAATGAGATTTAAGTAACCTTAAATTATTAGAGAATTCCATGCAGTTTTCAGCACACATCCTCTGAACTGGTATGCGGTTTGGGGGAGGTAAAAGCAATGGATAGCTCTTGCAAGCAAAGCGTGGCAGATCCTCTGTCATGCTTTTAGTGGACTTTTTTGTGCAATGTGATCTGCCTTATTTTAGCAACCTTAATTGCCCACTGCATGTGTTTCTTTTCAGATGCCAGGGTTAGAGGATGGTTCCTTTTGGACTCTTACCTTCCCACGTTTTTCCTTACTGGAGCCTACTTACTCTGCATATGGCTGGGCAACAAGTTCATGAAGAACAGGCCTCCTTTCTCTCTCAGGGCTCATCTCATTGTATATAACCTCGGGATTACACTGCTCTCCTTGTACATGCTCGTAGAGGTAAGTGTTCTTCCATGCAGTGCAACTGAGAAAGGTGAGTGATATACAGTTTTTAACAGAAATAGCTTAGCAACAGGTAGTTTTGCTAGGAAATTTAACATCAACAGCAAAGTAAATTTAAGACCAAGACAAGTCCCTTAGCAATTGGACAGTGAGTTGTACAGTACCTTCTCAGCTTAAATCCTGGCACGTTCTAACTGTCCTTCATGAGCTACAGTCCACACCTGGGGACAGCTGGCTGCTTCTAGGACAGTGTCTACAAGCCTGAGTTTGAATCTGCAGCAGTCACTCAGCTCAAACATGCCTACACCTCATTCTGCAGCACTCATGAATATGCCTGTGGATTGAGTTTTATTCATATGACTGTCTACGGAATGATTTTTTTATGTACAAATGCCCGTGCTTAAACGTGAACACATTTATAGATGAGAGTAAGTACTGATTTGTTTATGGTATTAGCAATTCAACGTTATTTTTCTGCTCTTCTGACTAAGAAGCTTTCCTCATGTAGTCAGACAGTAAGAGACAGATGTTAAAACCCTGCCACTTCAGCCAAAAACAAGTGCTCTGGAACTTGGAGGCTGAATATGGTCACACAGATTATTTCTCAAGTACTTATCAGGAAGGAACATGCTTACAGAGATCAGGATCCCTTCAGAACCAGAAGAGAGGTCTGAATGCACCTGATGATTTTGCAATAGCAGAGGACTCAAACAATGCTCCTCAGCAAAGACATGTGTGTTTTCACCTCCCCGGTGGGAAGCAGAAGACAAAAGTCACTATTTTGGTATTATTTGGGAGTTCCCCATTTTCAGCCTTGAGGTAATTGATGTACTTTTAATATTAAGTGTTAACACCCACCACTTCCAGCCCTAAAAAGCAAACACTAAAAGACAAAAACCACAAAGCATTTTCTGACATGGCTTCAAAAGTGACCCTGGGCATGAGGAGCCCTGGCTGAAGGACGTGCTTGATTTCATGGTGTGACCTGCAGAGGTGTGAGCTGACATTGCTGCCTTGCCTGCACAGCCTTACAGCTTTTCTTGCTCCCTGGGCTCCCAGCCACAACAGCAGTTTCCACGAGAAAAACAAGGACCTACTCTTCTGTCAGCTGGAGAAGAAACTTTGCAGAACCCAAACAGAACCTCAAAGACTTCAAGTCTGAAATTAATTTGAGCTAAACCCCAGGTGACTGGCCCGGTCAAAAGGCTGAACAGCAGTTTAGGTCTGTGCCTTTGTGCAAAGGACTGATTGTGCTACACTGAGCTTCGTCCTGGTCAAAGCTCCAGCTGAGTTCAGCGTTTGCTGTGGGTGTCCGAGAGTACAGGATCAGGCTCAGAGCAAAGGAGAAACCAGCACAATTGCTGGAAGGTTTGATGACTCCATACTGATTGTCCTCCAGAATTTGAATTAGCACTTTGATGTTTAAATCCCCATTTTGCTTGAAGGAATACAGATAACTGTCTTCAGTAGCAGGACCAGCAAAAAGGATTAACTGAATAGAAAACAAAAATACTGCTCCCTTCCCCTCACAGGCTGATTTGGCCTGCCACAAGGAAATGAATAAACAAAGAGAATTTTGGCAGGTCTCACTTAAATGAATGAAGCAAACTCAGGTTTTGCCACCTTCACATCCTTGTAGGAATTGTGTTGAGCCAGCTCCTATTCAGCCACCTCACTGCCCTGTCCTTCCTCAGACTAACTTTGCTGCAGATGATCGCTGAGTTGCGTTAGTCCTCAGATTAGTCCCTGTAGCTGGAGGTTGCTGATTTATCCCTCCCAGACTGCAGCTGGGCATGGTTGGCAGTGGTTCACATCTCCACATTCCACATTTTTCAGAAACCTGGGGGACATCATGACTGATCTGCACTGCCAGCTGTTCTACTGCAGATTTCACTTGTCACTCTGGACTGTCAGCCAAGCTGGTTTTCCACTCTACAAAACACTCTTCCATAAAAGTAGCTCTGTATTTTTTTCATAGACTACTTGCCTCATTCCTATCACAGCTTCTCCTGTGAAGGAGCAGAATGGAAGTTAAGACTTGCAGACCTTCTTGAGGTAGCTTGCACATCCCTGCTGAAAGAAAACAGGCAAACAGGAGAGCAGAAATCATCTTCAGTACTGAATAAAGTTTTGGTGACTAAACATTTAAAAATGTCTCATTTCTAAAGCTTCTCTCTGGTCCTTATTCTCTCTGTCTTTTATGGACAGTAAGCTCTTTAAGACAAGAGTTACCTGTATTTAGAGCATTCTGCACAGTGGTTTCTTATGTAAACACAGCTAATCCCTCCAGTGAGTATGATTCCAGATTAATTCCTAGTTAGAGACATCTATAACAGTTGTCTTAATCCTCCATCCTCCCATTGCACCTGAACCCCTCTGGTCTCTGTAACAGAGATAAATGACAAAATAATAAGTTCTATAATAGAGATAAACCACAAAAAATACAAAACAAAACAAAAACAACCAGTTATTTGCATTGCTGTTCTTACCTCTTCTTGGTTTTGTTTGTAAGGTGCCACACAGCTTTTTTGTGGTAGCTTCAGAATGGAGTGGGTGCTTCTTAGACATTCAAAAGAAAAATATCTTGTTCAAAAGAAAGAGTGTGTCTCCAAATGCAGACTGTCCCGCATGATGGCTTTAATGAGAAACATGGTAAACCAGCTGATGGAGGTATCTGTGCTCCAATTGTTCACCTCCTCACCTTCAGCTCCTGACCTAGTTTAGCTGTCCCTTGACTACAGTTGATTTGTACAACCTCAAGGCAAAAAGACAAAGCTTATAGCAAGGAGTCATAACAAAAGGGCTGTTCTTAAATCTCGAAGAGCAGATTCTTCTTCTGAGCCAGAGCTACATGTACTGCACCACAGGCATGAAGTATCTGGAAGCTGATTTTAGCTCCATGAGCTTTGAGGTCAACCAATCCCTAAAGTACTTTGAGGAACAGCTCCAGGACAACTCTAAGATGTGCCATTAGCATAAGGTCAGATACCCCTCCTAACCCCAAAGGACAAGGTCTAAAGAAAAACAGCTCTGCCCAGCTGCCCTTATCCTACTGAGACATCTCAGAATTTTTGTGTCAAGAAAGAGTTAGGTGCCTTTGAAGGCCTCCCAGAAGGGCAGGTTATTAGACCTTAATTTAGACTTCTGAGTTCAGCAAATGGATTTTCTTAAAGTTGTCAAAGGCACTTACCACTCCCCATTGAATATAATGGAGAAGTGGAACACTTGGTTTTGGAGCATGGCTTTCTCAAGTCCCGGAAGCTTAGACACAAGACCTGTGCTTAAATTAGGCAGGTTCAGGATGCACTGCTGAGGGTCCAGAAGACAGTTCCCTCCACCTTTGCCGCTATAAAAGAAACCTGCATCAGAGCTTTGTTATTGGTTATGTATTCTTCTGTACCATTAAGCATTAATAGACCCAGATCAGGTCTACAGATCCAACAGTTTCTAGTAACATTGCCAAAAATCTACATAAAGAAAGACAACCACCTTCTTTTTTATTTTAATAAAAATCAAAACTTGTAGCAGTTTCACTGAAGGAAAATATACCTTTCCTCTACACAAATCTGTGCCTAAGATCCTAACAGTTGGAACAGGTCTTTGCATATTTTAAAATTGTTTCACATGCAAGTCAACTCACAAACCACACTCCAGGGATGCAGTTGAAGGCACCAGAGGACAAGATAAGGTTTTGAAGTTCATCGCAGGATAAAACTGTCACAACTCCAGTGATAAATTAGAACCTGAAACAAAGGAGACTAATGCTGATCTCTGAATTGTGAAATTGCTCAGGTGAGGAAACTCTCTCTCATTAACATGAAAAGACATAATCTTTACCATGGTCTTAGACCACTTTCCCCAGCAGTATCACCTCTGCCCTATTTAAATTAAATCTCAGCTGGTCATCAAGGTCTCACACAAGTCCTTTTGTTGATCAGGCACTGAGAAAACCAGGACACTGGCACCATCTGGGTAGGATTAAAAAGGAGATCTAGAGGTATGTGTCATTAGTATAGGGGTGGCATGATGTCTCAAGCTGCCTGTATCCCCAGGTAGCTTCACAGACTTATTACAAATCCATAGGATTTTTAAGCAAGCAGCCACATCCACATGCGGAAGCAGGACTTGCATGTGAGGCCCCTCGACTCAGGGCAGAGGGGAAAGAGCAGAACTGCACAAGTACTGCAAGCCCAGTGCATTAACTTTTTCAGTGAAGCCAGAAGAGAAGTCTTTTACCTTACAAGATTTTTTTAAAAAAAAAAAAAAAAAAAGTAAATTGCCTTCACTTTACCTGTTTCTAGGAGCTGAAAATTCACCCCACAGTAAGTCAAATTTCTGAATTATAATCATGACTTGCAGACCCATAGGTACCACAACGATGTGAGGACTTCCAGGAGTACCAGAATTTCCTTCTTTGTATCCTCTGACAGCAGGGAAGAGTCAGAAGCACAGTGATGCTATGATCAGGGCCACCAGCTGCTGGTTTTAGCCATACACATTGTAACTGGAATTACATCTCACAAATTACTAGAAAGACTGGTATAATGCCTGGATTCGTGATAACAGTGGACAAAATGAAAGGAACAAACCAAAAATAAAAGTAGTAATTAAACTCTGTTTTGTTTCATCGTTATAATGGCCAACATCGGAAAGATTTGCTTACTAACTGTGCAAGTGTCAAAAAGATAGAGCTCAAGTAGCAGAAAATCTAAGTAAAGTTTTAACAGTGCAGGTGATGAGGAAAGGTAAAAAAGACATAGGTCCTAGCTGATTTGAACTGTCCTGGAATTTTACTATAGAAATCCAACTTCAACGTAACGATTTATTTTTTTTTAAGATTGTAATAAACCATAGAATCATAAGGTTGGAATAGACCTCTGAGATCAAGTCCAACCACTGACCTAATACAACCATGCCCACAAAACCATGTCTTGAAGTGCCACACCTACATGTTTTTTGAACACCTCCAGGGATGATGACACCACCACTTCACTAGG